ATTGAGAAGGACAGCATATAGTGAATCCTAGACTAACTCAAGCGGAAAGGGAGCCTGGGAGGTTACCTGGTCCAACCCCTGCTCAAAGCAGGTCCAAGAGCATGATGCTCTGGGCTGTATCTGCTTGAGTCTTGAGTATCTCCAGCAATGCAGACCCCACAACCTGTGGGGAACCCAAGACTATGTTCATTTAAAAGAAACACCACATGTATCACGTACAAGCACTTACCAGAAATCTCAGACATGCTGCATTCGACACAGGGAGACGCTCCTTGCGTAAAAGAGGTCAGAATGGGCCACAGTCACAAACAGGAGGAAGAAAACCAGATGCAGACGTGGCTTGTGGGTGTGTGCTTTAGGAAAGATCAAATCAACCTGAAAACTAACTCTGAAGGAGCTCTTAAGGCTTCTTGTGTTGAAACTATTATTAAAGACCCCAGCTACTGGGATTTAAATATGTCGAACCCATTTCCCTGGAAAATTTCTGTGTGGGAGAGATGAATTGCCCGTATTTTGGGAAATGCATCTAGGCCTAAGGAAATCTGAATTTTGGCAAGACCACATCCAAAGCTGTTACACAGCAAGCAGAGGCAGACAAATCAGGTTTTAATAAATAATCTAAGACTCCAAATGAGTTGCACCACTGCACTGTCGTCTGGCTGCACAGAAGCCTCTGGAACTATCATATTCAGAGCATCTTCAGCAGTTTCCTACTCTGAAAGTTACAATCACTTAAGTCAAAGACTTTAAAATTTATTTTAGCAGGGAAAAATGCATCTTCAGTGATTCACGTTAATGACAAGTTTCTCCAGGGAGAGGAAAAAAGCCTGCCTACCATGGGAGATCACAGATGCTCTTCCACAGGAAGTCATTTAAACGCAGCCGTGAAAGAACAGACTTAACTGTGTGAGCTTTTCCATCAGAAAGGCGTAGGGATGGAAGAAATAATACAAACTGTGGTTCCCTCAGTAAGATGAAGAGTTGAGTTATTGGCAGGATATTTAATGCAAGTTTCTAGAAGATGGTCCACCTTAGCTGAGAGAAGCCCACTCGCCTCTAAGCACAATCCACACATTTCTTGTGGTGCTTTTAGAGAGAATAGGAAAACAGGTTTTAGAAAACTTTTGTAGAAGACCGCATTAGTTATCTTTAGCTGTGCTTTATGAAACAGATACAGGGTGGTATCACTGTTGCCAGCTTGTGGCAAAACTCTCTCCCCAGAGCTTTAAAATTTTAATTATAGTCAAAAAAGCACAGTAGATATTTTTAAAAAATAGCTACAAGACTGACCTAAAGCATTCCAAAGATGCAAAGATTTTTGTGGTTTGAAAGTGGTCTAAATATCATTAATTTGCAGAAAAGCAATACTATACACAACCAGAGTTATTAACTATATGAGATAAAGTAATTACTCAGTTAAACAGCAGAATAAACTTGGTATTTTCTCCTTATCTTACTCTTGGTCTTGCATGCTGCATTATAGATTAAGAAAGACTCCAGGAATTCACTTCAAAACAAGCAAGCTAGGTTCAAACAGTTACCAATATAAAAAGAAAACTATGTATTAATAAAGTAACAAATGCTAACCTTTGAACTTCTCAGCATTGACCATATTCTGTGAGCAGAGGTACACACAGCTGTATGCGCAGGAGCTGGAAGTGACCCTATGAAAACTCCAATAGAAACTTAGAACAAGATTCTTAGTATATCTAGTTTATAAATGCAAACATTTTGTATCCTCTGCTTTGATGCTTTGTAAAGAGGACACTAGATGTACAAAATACCAGATTTCTTGTGGCTTGAGCTTCAGAGCTGGAGAAGCATCAGGAGTTTCTTTCTGACAAAGATGCAAGACAGTGTTACACCATGACGATAAAAATGAGGACCCCAGTATTCCCTTTCATGCATAGCTTGCTGTTGTGCTCTCTGGCATGCAGAACCAACTTCACCTTTACACTTAAAACAAAGTCATTATGAGAATGGTGAAATATTACAAAGCATGATTAAGAGTGGTCTTGGATGCTATCTTAACCAACTGATCAGTGCTTTTCATACTGAAGTTCAAGATTTTCTGCAAACCATAGTGCCTGCCCAATGGGCTCATAGCAGATTCCAACATGGTCATATTCTTGCGCACTCCCCACCACATTGCATCTTAGTCAGTGAAAATACAGCCCTTGCATACAGTCCTGGTGTTCAAAAAAAAAAAAAATCCCGATAAATGCTGTAACATCAGCTACAAGAGCAGCAGCATCACTAATCAAAACAAAGTCACATAGGAAATGCTGGAATCTCATTACCTACTGAGAAACATTTAGCTTCCAAGTCTCTCTGTTATACACAGAGCTAGGTGATGCTTCCATACTACGCAGAAGTGAATTTGGTTGGTTTATTCACTACTAGTCTTGTGAGCTTGAGACACATTTAGTTTCCCTTTTGAGATGGTGTGAAAGGGGCCCAGTGAGAGAAAGACAGCAGAAAGCACCAGTGTTGACTACAGAGCCATTTCATCACAAGCTCTCAGACAAAGGTCACGAGCCTCAAACTATGCACAGGAGCTACACACGCAGACAAGGAAAGCTTTAAAGAGAGGCACAGTTACGGACAAGTGCCAGTGCCTTCCTCATTACCTTAAATAACCAGAGGATCTGGAATGCAAGCACCACCAGGCCTCGTGGCTGCCCCAGACAACCACATCAGTCCCACCTGGTGCAGTGAACTCAGTGGAACAAGTCAGGTGTGCATTCCTTACTTCTGCCAAAGCATTACTAGCTCTAGGCTAACATTTGAAAGATGCTGTTTTATTAGAAGTCATCTAAGAATAATTTCCAAATCCCCACTAGAATACTTCATTGGCTAGAGGTGAAAAAACCTTAACATTAATTAAAAAAAAATTTTAACTTAAAAGCTCCTGTGAAATAAAGCTTTCCTTCGCAATGAAATTCAAAGACCTGCTGATACAGCAAGTAAGTGGAAAATAGTTTGCAGGTTTAGGGACACCCACATAAAGCAGAAAAAGTTGCTAATTAAAGCACTTAATTTCACTTAAGTCCAAAGAGTCTTTTGCAAGAGATTGGAAAGCTCTACTACTGAAGTCAATACCACTTCACTTTCTAAAGAAGCTTTAAGTGGCCTAGTTTAAGATGCTTTTCCTAAGTATTAGTGATGGTAAACTCTGCAGAACATCTTGTACAAACACAACAGTACACCCCAATCTTTAGTATCTTCATTAGTCCATAACATACAAAGGAAAGCCTCTTAAGTGTAGATAGACTGAACAACTATCATCAAAATGCATTCCCTAAAGAAAAATCCTACTCTGCAGAACCAAATAAGCCTGTCAACTCACATTAACCATATCTTGTTTTGGGTTTACTGATGGACTGTATTATTCAGAAACTTAAAGAACTACAAAGCAGCCTGATTAGTTGTATTTATTTTTTTTTTTATTAGGTTTATTATGACTTAGAGTTTCTATTACTCCAGCGGGGTAAACCACATTTGAGAGTAAGTTTAACTGCAGGACTTCAGTTTCAGCCAAAATCATTTTTGCATTACTTTATTGTAATATAGATTTAAATTTAACATTTAAAACTTACTTCATTAATAAGCAAGCCAAGCTCAGTAGCTTCAGTGCAGGATGTACTTTATGTAACTTGCCGCACATTCATGTTAGATTTGATGTACATGGAGAAGAGACCGGTCAACTATACGATTCATAGGAGAAAGCAAAAGTAAGCACCATTTTTACCAAACTAAACAGTTCTCAGTTCAGTGTTTCTTACAGGAAATCAACTCACTTCTGGCTCCAGGAGCTACAGTTTGGATAATAGCTGAAAGCTATTTCCAGAACATCAATTTTCTACACTGGCACAAGAAATAGTCTTCAAAGCAACAGGTACTGGACCTTTTTTATTTTTTTTTTTTTTTTTTAAGAGACAACCTGTTCTCCTTGTGTTACCCAGGTGAATACATGCATTTTTGATCATTCTGGCAGAAGTTAACAAAGAGCAAACAGCAGTTGGGGCTAAACAAAAAACAATCAAGAAGTTGCCAAATACTTAAGGTACAAGCAAAAAAAACCATTAATGCAACCAGTTTAATATCTACGCCTGCTTTCTTTCAAAGAAAAATGGCAACAATTAAATAAAGAGCCAGACAAATTTAGTTTTAGGTGGTACTAGACTGAATTAACACTTCAAAGCATTAACAGGATTTATTTCACTGCAAGGAAGAGAATTTGAACAGGCTCTGTATATGTGGGCTAGACCAGAAGCACTGCTACCATTCAATCCATATATGCAGAACTGATACCAATATGATGTTACCTTTACTGTGTGTAATAGTAAAGTGTGTTAAAAGTTGCGGAGCGTAAGCATCTTAGTTGTACAAGCCAGTTAATGAATGAACAGAAGAGCTGAAGAATGGTTCTCACACAAGTCCTTTCTGTTCAGGACTCCAGATTTTTCTTCTGGAACAGAAAAATCCCTCTGCCAACAGCCTAATAAATACTAACAGATATATTTAGATACCATCTTCAAAATCTTTGTTGAAAATGCAGTCTCCAAATGAAAACTAGCTTTATGCAGTATTAATATTTTACATAAAATAAGTCTTATGAATCGTAGTTAATAGCAGTAACTGAAATTAATGTATACTGAGTCTTCAGGTGATGTGCAAGTTCAGCTATGTAACACAGGTGGGGGCTTTGAACATTTTTTACCATCTTGCTTTGGACAGTTCTTACACTTGTCCCATAAGTTACAGAACCTCTAGCTACAGTATTGTGCAACTGTTGACATCTTCAAGAGCTCTTCAATGTAAAGAAATCTGATGGAAGCACCACAAAGCAAGGAAATCATGCTCTTAGTAGAGAGCTTCGAATGCTGAGAATTTAACACATCATTGCTGTCTTGCCTTGACTACAGAACACCAGTGAGAGGACATCAGGGTAAAAAGGAGCAAAACTACAGTGAAGTCTGCTTCAAACAGGGAAGATAATATAAAAAAGATCTGACTCTACAAGCAAGTAAGCAAAAGTCTTGAAGAGCTGTGTATTAACATGGAGCTCAAGGTGCCTTAACTTAGCTAGAACACCACAATTCTTCTAGTACTGTGAATCTAGCATAGCTGCATTTCATCCAAGAATCAGCCTATGCTTCCAGTTAAAGCATGCATACCACCTTGCTAAATACCCCTTCCCAACTTGCAGGTTTGGAGCTCTTCATTTTCTTATTCCTCCTGTATTATCCCTTTCCTAGGCAGAGATTTAGAGGCCCTAAAAGCCAGAGCTCTCCACCAAAGACTTGCTGCATCTACATGTAAAAATAGTTAGGACACTCTTTTGAGACTGACACATATCCCTCCCATTCAGAAATGGATTTGCAGCAGATCAGTCTTGATCTCTAGTTCAGTTTTAGATTATACTGGTGTTATGGCAGCCAGAGTTCAATCCTATGAATGTAAGCTCAACACAAAAAGAAAGCCATTTATCCTTTTTAATTCATCCAGAGCTTTATAATCAACTTCCAGTTTTAAATTATTTTCTTAGCACTTCACAGAACCTGCATGTCACTCCCTCCTGAGGGAAATGGCATCACACAGAATTTTAAGTTAGTCCAAGTTTCCACATGTGACCAGAAGTCTTACTTGTTAGAACACACCCCTTTTTCAACTATTCCCCCTCATTCCCTCTCCTCCCACCCCTCCCCAGCAATGGGCAATTACTTCACAAGAAATGTAAAATGAGATATGGGTGTACACAAAACCTACCCTTCACTAATACTGAACAGAAAAGCCTATTTTCCAATTACAGGACATCTTTCTCTAAATTTAGGTCAGCACTGGTGCAGTCTGCACTGTGTATGATTACCACAAGGATAATACCAATAAGTACATATATTTTCTCAAACTGATTTAAAAGCCTATGAAGTTAATCGGGGAAAAGTTTAATATTGCTACTTCAGAGCACTAAAACACACAAAGTGAATCCAATAAAGATCCTTGTATTGATTCAATATTAATTATTAATTGCATGACCATCATAGCACCTCTTTACATTATCACACGATCACCAGAATTATCAACTGCTTTTAAAACTAAAAAGGGTACAGTCCAATATTTATAACTTGCACACTGTTACTATATAGAAACTAGGTGCGTGGTACAGTGCTGCAAAAATGGAAGCCTGCAGTTTTGACAAAGATGCCAAGTCATGTTGTAGACAATTTCAGTCAAACTGGCAATACTGTTTAAGCAAATACTCAACACAGCAGGAAATAAAGGACAAAAAAAAAGCATTCTATAACCAAATAAACATCTGAAATTTCCTTTCCCTTTAAGAATACAAGTAAGGTCACTTTTAGCCTTGGAACGGATACATGTTCGCCTATGATGATCTTGCTAACTACTACACAATATCTGATGTCCTCTGCTAAGAATATAGTTTAAGAAAGCCGCAGTTACAAGAGGCATCTAATGTAATATCTAAAATTTCCTTTATGGCAATTATTGAATTCATTTGTCTTAAACAGTGAATATGGAAAGATGGCCTCATGTTTCCTTTTCAATAGTACTCTGAGGATCAAGTGGCTTTCAAGCAGCATGGTGGGTTTGAAATTTTTGCAGTTTAGATCATTCTGTTGCGTTTATGAGTTGGTGAGTCTGTAATGACATCGCCACACTGGGCTGAGGTACGCTTTCTAGTTCCACCATTGTCCAAGTGGAGTGCCATTTCTTCTGATATGAAAGTGTTCAAATCAACATCATGGAGTCCATTTCTCCTTCGACTAGCATTGGAGCCACTGCTCACGTGAGTGGGCGAGCCTGGGGTACTTGAGCGAACACTTATACTAGCCATTGCACCACTAAGACCTAGGGGAAAAAAAGAAAAAGCATTTAGGTCAAACAGTAAAGAAAGTTAATTTCCCATGTGTGGCAGAAGGGATGACACTTATCTGACTTCTAGTGATATGTTATGTTAAAGGCACTTCATGTTATTATTTATACCACACTTCCAGACCACACGTTCCCAGCTTTTAGTCCATGTAAGAACCTAGTGATTATCAGAACTTTTTAATGACATTTAGAAGTGAGCTTATACACCAAGTTGTAACAGCACGCTATGGCAAATGCTAGCTCCATAAGCATGACATGCTATTCAAAATATGTGTACATACTCAAGAGCAGACTATTTCAATATGAAGGCTTCACACTAGTCCAATAGTTACACAGAATGAAAATCCCCCTACCAAGGGCTTTCCAGGTTGACTTGGTCTTGTTTCAACCACCACCACCCTGCTCTCCCTTTCACTTCCTCAGTCTCTGTAGTTCTAAAGGAAACTGCAGTGTGACAGCAGATCTCAGACAGGTCTATACCACAGCTAGTGATTAAATAAAAGCTTTATTTCGTGGCTGCTACTATTAGCCAACACATTAGTATTATCAGAATTCAGAAGAGTACTTACAAATAAAACATAAGCCAAGCAAGACCACATGACAATCCCCTAGAATTTGCTATTGTCAGATATGACAGTGTTTTGGATCACATGTACCCTGCAATCACTTTGGTCTGCATTCAGGTGTATTAATAAAATGTTTAATTACAATAGAAAGTTTATTTCTTGTAGAAACAAGGCCATAAACATGAAAAACATGAACTTCATACTAATTTAAACTTTTTGTCTTCAGTAGTGTTACTATTACAAATTTGCAGAAGTGGGACACCCCAAACCAGACGTTTAGTAAGGGCCAGTACATGAAAGCCTAACAAGTCTTCTCAATTTGGAATTCAGGCTACATTTGTAGATAAACAAGAGCTCAGATACAAGACAAATATCTTTGCTATCATAACTGCTTCAAATCTGAGTGTTATTAGGAAAGTTTACATTTTTCTAGCAATAAGAACAAGCAAATGTTAAGCTGTCCAGGAAGACTTCTGCCTCAGTAACCTTCAAAGTCTTGAGCTCTCTCAGAAGTTTTCTCCAGTCTCAAATACTCTATACCTTTGTCCAGCCATCACACAACTTGTGTGTGGGCAAAGACATTTAATACACACCTTGATACGTAGTCAAGTAGGCAGCCAAAAGTCACAGGCTGACAAGTAAAGCCTAACAAAGCCCTACTTATTATCTGCTGACAGGCCAAACAAGCAACTTCAGAGGCTCTGTGAAGAGACGACTGCTAGAGCTACTAGATCAGTTGCCAGAAACCTCAATTGTAAGATAAATTCTAAAGCCATCTGCAGCAGTGGCAGGTTGGTAAGTCAGGATAAAACAGGCCAACCAATTTCACACTGTTGTACTTTACTGTTGAATGAACATTTAAAGCTTAGATCTTGTAGCAGCACAGGATATACTTTTACACACATTGGGCATTATGCAACAACCAGTAGAAACAGACAATAATCACTGATGCTTTCTTAGAGCTTTTGCTTACAGCTCCAAGTGGTCTTCCAACACAACTCAGAAGCATGGTTTGAAGTCTGATAGGGACCCTGCAGGTTTTATTAATATTAAAATCATCTTTAATTCACAATGGCAGAAAGTATTTAAACAGCAGAAGCTGTTTTAGTGAGAAGATAATTCAGAAACAAGGTTTTTTCCAATACTCCCAGGATTAAGGTCAAGCTTAAATTCAAAACCATTATGAAAAGAGGCTCCTATACATCTACCAAAGAAAGTAAAGCAGCTAATTGGATGACACAGACATGTGAGCAAAAAGCCAATTCAGATACCATAACTTGGATAAACCACCAATGTGCAAAATTTGGGCAGGTAACAAATCACTTCACAATTCAAAAGACAACAGCAAGTTTAATTTCAACTGGCATGACATACATTAGGAAAAAAACATTAATTCATCCTGTACATTTAAATTGGAAAAAATTTGACAGTGCACAGAAGGTGACATTGTTTCAAGTCCAAATTGGTTGCAGATATTTCCCCCCACATCACTATTCCAAGCAAAATTGCTCTGAACACACAAGTTCAGCATTGTTACTTCCACTGAGGCAACAATTTACACCACTTATCAGTCATTTACTCTTATATTATACAACCCATAACCAAATGACCAATATACTAGTTCAGTTGTATCATGACATCTTTTCATTATATCTAGTGCCCAAGTAAGGAGAGAAAAGTTATTTAAAATAAGCCCCAAAACCAACCTGTGATGCAAAAATACATTTTCTTGCATCAGTCAAGAACTGTTTAAGTAGAGCTTTTTCAAGTAACAAGCGTTTTTTAAAATAGTAGCTTTTTAAAAAAGTCAGAATTAAAAGATGCATCTGTAATATGCTGCAGCATATTCTAAAACAGACTGCCAAGGTTTGCAAGCAATGCCTCAAGCAGGCATTGGCTTTCCAATACTTAAGTAATACTGAATCACTGTACATTTAAATACACAAACAACCTTCGGGAGATAATCAGGAAGTTAAAATCTTTGCTCAAACCTGGTATCAAAGGCAGAAGAGTAGTTTTGAATTAATTTCTACAAAGATAGTAGTACAAGGATATTGCATGACAACACAGACTTCTAGTTGCAGTTTAATCTTGCATCTCATACAGGTATTTAATACTGAACTAGTGAGTAACAGTCATTACTGAGTATGCTAACAGACTGAGTGACAATTTGTTATCAGTTACTGGCAGTTAACCATATTATGTAGCATTACACAGCAATCCAAGAACAGAACTCTCAAATGAACATTTAGATCACAGTTTAGGATTGGGTGATCAAGCTAGCATGGAAGAGTCAGAAAGAAAATTCAAGGCGTGCACTGAAATATCAAGTTACCATTTCATGGAAGCAATGTCTTTGAAGACAATCAGCAATGAAACAGAGAAGATATTTTGTTGACAGAGAAAGCATCTTTCAGGATTGAAACTGAACTGTGATCCACAGTTCCATTTTTTCTTGGGAAGTTGTTGTAATGCAAAGAGGAAATCTCAGAAAACCCATTTATTGTAAATTATGCTGAGTTTCAGTTTTCAGTGGACTCGGAGACCTCTTCCCAAAGCATTTAACCATTTAAAGCAGAAAGCAAGCAGTAATAGATACTAGGAAGTAGTAAGATGACATGACTGTTAGAAATTGGAGGTTGTGAAATGGTGTTGCTATATTGCAATTAACATGACCTAACCACAGGCACAGAGTTTTGTCTGTACAACAGGATAGAGATTCAAACAGCTGCTAAAGTGTCTTTACTTCTCTCACGGTCTCATGAGCACCCCCTCTGAAGGCTCCCACTGCTTTCTACAGGAGACTTTTTTTTTTTTTGAGAGGCCTTTAAGAAAGGACACATGGCTATTTCTCCCTTTTTAAACTTGAAAGGATTGAAGTGGAGGGCATATCTGAAATATTTCGCAGTACTTATCACATTCCCACTCCTACCGTATCTTTCAGTCAAGTCATCAACAATATGGTATTTCATAGCCAGTAATTTCACAAAAAAGGGCTTTTATCTGAAGTTACGTTCTAAAGCATTTATTATAGTACTATTGGAAAAAGCTGCCGTATAGAAGAAATTGTGACCAATACTAGCTAATTTGTAACTCGCCAAAACTATCCAGTGATTAGAATGCTTGGCTAAAAGTATATGTTTTATGGAGTATGAAACACTTAAATAAAACTGTCAACTCAAAATTAGCAAGTTTATCAACACTGGCCTAACAAACTAAAAATGCTGTTTTATCTGCACTATAACCATGTCCATAATGAGTTATTCAGGCCACTACCACAGCATAATATACTGGATAACTACTGTTCAGTATAGTATTAATTATTGTTTTCCAGAAGTTTTAATCAGAAAGTATCAAAAAACATTAATGCTTAGATTAAGCGTGACTAAAGCAGGAATTAGTTAATAACTCCAGATAAATACAAAATTGCATGCAGATAGATCCTTGTCATTCCTCTGTCATACTCACCCTTTCACAGTACTGCTCAAAGAGCAAGTTTTAGCAGTACATACCAATACACAACTCTATGATAGCTATATATACACACACAACCTTTAAGTTAAACTCTTTTGAACTAACCTGAACTCTGCTCTCCCATCCCCTCTACCACCAACTGCTTCTGCTCCACTGTTAGCAACTGCTTACATTTTATATTGCAGTTTAGTATTTTGAGAAGACAATAAGACAGCCTAATGGAGATTCAGACTCTTTAAAGAGGCCAAGCTACACACATGTACATGCTAGAGCAAGGGTCTCCCCACCTCAAAGAGACTGAATCATATTAATGATATACATCAAAATTAAAGCTGAAGATCAAAAGAACTAGCATTTCCTCACCGCACTGTTGCCCATTCACATAATTTTTACTTAAGGATGCTCAAGTCTAATGCATTTCAGCATTGCCTTCCCATGCTTGCTTCTTCCCCCTCCTCAAATCACAGCATTTTCTCCCATTATGCTGGGAGAATGGTTTGTAAAGCATGGAGCACGTCCCACATTAAAAGACCAAAACATCATTTCAAACACGGACTGTGCACTTCCACCAGCACTGCAAGACTTAGTATGCTAGCTACAGCCAAGCAGAAAATGACCTGGCACATGTCAGCTTTTGGGAACCTTATGACTATTAGCTCAGTCTGATGTAATTCTGTCATTTGAAATTCTTCTCTTACAGAACTGCATACGGCAATACGCATCCAGAAAGCGGGTGAAGGTACATCCATACATGTGCTAACTGCAGTGACATTTTAGGGTCTGGTGGAAGTTAAAAACCCAACTCTGTATTTGAGATGTTGAACAATAAAGGTATTTATCTTCTACCATCACATCTTAAAATGCTAAGCATCATCAGATGCACAGCTCCTGATGTTTCAGAAAAATCCACTTGAATTTCAGAGTAAAATAGTGTATATTACCTTGAGCTAACTACTCAGCTTTTCTTGAAGGCTTTAATTTCTTTTCAGGTATTCACAGTTCAAGTTTCCAGCCACATTTTATTTCAAAGGTTACCCATCAGCACACTAATAACAGAAAGCTAATATTAAGGGCAAAGATTTTTTTTTTTTATTTACCAGAGTTTAACTCCCTCAAGAGATTACTTAGATCCAAAAACTCATTCTCAAGTACCCTTAAGTTACACTAAAGATTTCAGTAACCACTGCACAGCATACATCCCACAGAGTCAAAAGGTAGATCACAAACATTCTTGTGTCAGTATAGGGTTTTTTCTTAATGATCATTTTGCTTTTAGCTACTGTAACAAGTCTTGAAAGCAGAACAGTAGAGAAGAACAAGTTTCCTTACAGCATAAAGACTATTGATAATAATATCACAAGATTAAATTTGGGGTTCAAAATCCCTAGCTTTCATCAAGAAAACTGTTAATTACCTACGGAGCTATACTATAGGTCAGATATAACAAGGTTTGAGATGGAAGAGGTAAGGTTAAAAATCCAATTTTAACAGATTTCAGATGCAGCATATAGTTTTAAGATTGTACTGATACCTAAAGATACTCCTCTGTTTTAGTCTAGGGCATACACCTAGAATTGTGTTTGATGTTCCAGGAAGTATTTATCAGCTACTTTGTTACCAGAGCTTCTGTCAAAGTTTTCAGATGTGATTATGAAGCATTTAGATACTACATAATCAAAATAAAGGTATTTCCCCCATCAAAGAACAAGAGCAACAAGTTATAGGACCCTGGTCTTTAGATGTATATTAGTACCTATTTCTGAGAAGTCAATAATCCAGCTCAATTTCAACAGAGCTTTATTTGGTGTCATAATATGACATAGATTCATACCTATCCCTGCTTCACTAGGAGACCTTGCTTAGAGCAGCAAGTTTTAGAATTACCCATCAAATCTAATTCAGCCCATCCACACTACCAATAAATACTTAATTTCCACAGGAAGCCTACCAGCACAAAACAAAGCCTCACTCCTTTACATGCCAGCCAAAAATTCCCCTTAAAGCTTTAGTTCTGAACACTTGCTGAGACTGCTACTCACTATCATCAGGTTTTCTTACATTTCCTCAAAATACCTAGAAGCAGCAAATCAATTTTAAACAGCCTGCCAAAAATGAAGATAAACATAGCCCTACAGAGGACACTAATTTACAGATACCTAAAGATCCTACATGGGTTTCAAAATCAAAAGTAGTTCCGAGAAGCCCTATGATAAACAGGAAAATAGTTTGGGAGACAGTTTAATCACAGCTTCCTTGATGTTAAAGAAAAGGAGAGGAGAAGCTGAAGGAACACAGACATTGTAGGCAATAACCTAAAAACAGTTATGCAGCCAAATACAAGCCTAGTCACCAAAGGATCAGCACAAAAGCATTTGTGTCAAACATCAGATTGAAACCAGTATCAGGAAAACCTAATCCAGAAGGTGACTGACACATAATCTTGTCAACCAGCTAACTGATAAAGGTAAAGAGTGCATTTCTAGCCCCTGCAGTGCCAGTACAAAGCAGAGAACTTCCTACAGTCCTCATGACCCTGCATTAGGTTATGAAATATGAAAAAACTTTACACTTCATGATTCAGATTCCCATGCTATAGAGAAGTGACTTCCATAAACCACCTCTATACAAAGCAGATGCTAAGAAACAATACAAGGACATGAAAAGAACCATATAGCCAATAAAAATGCCTCTGAGTTTACTCTGCTTGAATGTTCACTATGCTGAAGTGAGTCTACCCAGCTTACTCTCACCTGAGACTAAGCCTTTATAGTTAAAGCCAACTGCACACTGGATTCAACTACAGTTTTAAAAAAAGAGGGTTGTTGGGTTTTTTTTAAGAAGGTGTTTATCACATCAGGTGAGAGCCAGCTTCTGCAGTTGTTCTCCTCATGAAATTAGCTTTACCTAATAAGCAATACTGGTGCAGAATTCTCTAGCCAGCTTCCAATGAGAAGGAAAACTGCCAAAAACTACATGACTGGGTGGAAGCATGCTTGATTTAAATGGCAACAGAGCAGCAAACAATACCAGAATTAGGCTGTCCCCTAGACAGTAACAGTGTCTGGCTTATGTATCTTGAAAAACCACCACAGCATAGCAGAAGCAAAGACTGCATTTTCAGGAATCCACTCAAATTAACTCATTAATTCCACCCCTCACTGAGAATATTGAGACGGTAAACATTTAACTTAAGTTTCACAGGTTATAATACTTTAAATAACTTGATTTTTTACTTCTAGAATGGTCTACCTCAAGATATCTGCTACACTTTATAAGGCATAAAATCCACAAGTGAACTGCTTCATTTCACCTCAGGAGCAATTTAAAACACATTTTTCTTCCATCACATGCTAGCGTAACAGTCCAATGCAGAATAAGCTACTAAATATTCACATCTAAAAGGGAAAAGAGATACACCACCGACATTGCTGTTGATGACAAGAAAGGAAATTCTGTATGACACTGGAAGACATTTAAGACTGAAAGTGAACTAGAACTAAGTTCTGAACAGGACTCAATTATTGCAGTGATGTGCAAGTGAAGTACCCTTTCCAGGGTAATTTAAGCAGAATGGTAAACCATGTTATCCAGTGCATAACAACAAGGGTACTAGAGTGAGATAAGGTACCCCAGACACAGAAGCTTCAGACATCAAATTCCCTCCCTAACCCTGCAAAAATTTGCTAGTTATTTGCTACTAGCCAAATCTTAATATTTAACTAGTTGCTAGCATAGCCTTATCATTTTCTGAGAATTCTGTTTACTTTAGCATTGGTATGACAATGCCAAGTCTCTTCATGCTTCAAAAACACTACTGAAATTGATACTTAACTGTTGAGTTCACAGCTGTAGAATATTACAGATCCAAAGCTCATTTTTATACAATACCTTTTCCTCATTCAAAATATTTCACTATGCAACTTTTTAGTAGCTATATGCCTTGTACATGCAAAAAATCCCTTAGAGAATTAAGAAGATACCTTCAGCTGGAACATCAGATACATGACATATGACACCAACAATGGCCAGGAGCCAGACATGCTTTAAGAACCCCCACCCAATTTTAACCAAGTAGTATTGAAAAAATTACTGTTACCATGCAGAGCTATGGCTTCACGGAAGGGTTGCAAATCAGTCTCTACAGATGAGCTAGTTTCTGTTGAAGTAGCTCGGTTAGGGGATACTACAGTCAGTCTTGGGGGAGCTCTAGAATTTCTTGGAGGAGGAACTTTTCCACATAGGAAGCTGATCAAGTCTTCTCTACGAATAGTTCTTCTGCGTTTTTTAACCCAAGCTAACACATCCTTATTCCGACGCTGATAGCCAATCTGAATTCCTACATCAAAGCTTCGCTGATGGGCATCCACACTTTCTGCAAGAAGACAGAAAAAAAGTTTTCTTAGTAGTGTAACAGATAGAGCAGTGAATAGTATGGCACATCACTGATAAAGCTTCCTGCCAACCGCGGGAAAGCGTATCTTCTACAGGTTACTGTAACAAAGTACCAAGTTAGCTGAAACAAATTAGCTAGCATTGAAGACAAGTCTTACTAAACCTAAAGAGAGTATTAGCTAAAAAGTTCCACTCCCTTTACAAGTCAAGAAGTCAACAGCAACACAAGCACCACCTAAACAGCTCTTACTATACTACAGGTCAACACTACAGCACTGTTTACAAAACCATATTGTATTAACAATAAAACACACTTTGAGCTTGTCAGTCTGAGGAAGATACTTAAATCAGAGAATGCACTTTAAGAGACACTCTTAAAGTGCATCAATACAGTCAAGAAACACCACAAAACAAAAGCAGTAACTGCTTTTCTTGATTCTGATAGGTAAGGAATTTTCAGAAAACTCAGATTTCTTTGGAGTCCCTCTAGTGTCATCTGAATCTCAACTGCAGCATCAATTCACAGGAGGCCATAGTTTTGAAACTAGTTAGAACACAAGTGTCCCCCAATGCCTTTCAGTTAGGCAACACACCATTTACAAAGGACATCTAAAAAATTTCCTTCCCCATTTAAGATCCCATTACAAATTTGACATACAAAAGCTTTAAACATATTATTTGCTATTAGTCCTACTACAAAATGCAATTTCATTCTCCTTTGACGTAACTGGTCACCTATGCACATCAGTTTTAACTGTGCCTCTAAGAAGCACTCTTAAATGCCTTATATTACATTGCTTTTGAACTTCAGTAAGTACATTTCTGGCTACTAGTTTAAGTATGAGTTAAGTTTCAGACAACAGTAACAGGTGGGACAAAACATTCTCTACACAATTACACTCATCATAGATTTGTTATCAGAGCTTTGCCAACAGCTATTTCAGTTTTATGAAAATTACTGCTATGTTAGCTCTTGCTCCATTAAAAGGCATCAACATATCCACTCCAATTTCATTTACCTGGTTTCCATACTTTTTTTTTTTTTGGGGGGTGGGTTGTTTGGGGTTTTTTTTAACTCTGGCAGAGCTGATTAAACCAGCTTTTTATATTCTTGCTTTACTAATGCAGTCCAACGTAAGAGCCTTTTGCACAGAACAATAATAAGAAATTTATTTAAGAACAGCTGTCCAAGATACTGGTTTACAGGTAAGCAGTTACATACACACCTAATCTAGTTCTCACACACAAAAAAACCCCAAAATAATCACTATTAAATGCTATCCTTAAACTTATATTCTAAGGCACCACTGCATGGTCCACAAAAGACAGCACTAAAATCTACACTACTGAAGAGCAGCACTTCAAATGTAACACAACCTACCAAAAAAGAAAAACATCTCAAATTGATCACAGCTAAATCTTGGGGCTTTTAGACTATAAACTATACACATACACATAGAGTACACTTAACATGTT